CTTTTTCTTTTAGGTGCATATTTTTTTGTACCATTCATTTTATTTTACTTTCAATATCCTTTATGCGTGCATACAGAAAATGTTTTGGAATTCGACTTATAAGATTTTATATAAACTATTTTTCATCTGGACTGTGGAGTTAAAAAATATATCCTCTGAATATAACAAACCGTTTGATCTCTGTAAGTAGGTACTCGATAATAATATGTTTGTGTTAAATGTTACTGATAGTACTTGTAATAATATAGTTGTTCAAACAAATGGTAATTATTTGTCTGCATAAACTGTACCAACATTTTTTTTTTCCAAAATACAAAACTTTGAACCATTTTAAAAAAAAACTTTTAAAATGTTAACACATCTATATTGGTAATGCGCACTTGCATATTATTTAAGAAATAATTTCAACTAAAAGCATAAAATATAATGGGATTTCGATTTTCTTTATTGAATAGGTTTTCCCGGAGGTTTTCCCATTCATATGCCTAAAGTGCATGTAACATTTGTTCATATTTCGTTTGAATTTAATTTAAGTAATATGCATAATTTAAGTAAGGAATCCGTAAATTTTAATTTGCTAGTTTCTCCTTATACATACTGAATATAATTTGTAATCATACGTTTTGTTCAACGTATTGAGTTAACAAACGATACATTATAATTTGTTTTAACTAGTTACATTTTGTTGAAAATCACCAGGCTTCATTATTTAATTATTTGCTCAAAATGAAATTATAAATAATAATAAATTATTAAATATGTAAATACATTTTTGAGTAGTTGAAACACTTATATCACATGCATTGCAGTAAAGTACATTATTATTACCCGAAAAAGTTTCGTTAGGAAAATCAAGGATAACATTTGAAATTTTAGTTGAAATAGATTGAGCTACTTTAGGCATTATTTACTAATTTATTATTTAGTCTTTAGTTTATAAATTATAATTTATAACTTGTAACATAAAGATATTTTCACAACCACGCGAACACAAGAACTGATAGTCTGATATGTGCTGTTGTAAATTCGTAAATATATTTTATCAAATAATTGTTGAACATAAAGTATAACCTAAGATCATTAAGGTATTTTTATCGAACAGATACAGATAGGATGAACTAAAATCAAGTTATTAATATTTATTTTAACCTACTTATTTCATATATACATTATACACTTACAATTTGCCGAGTACCATTATCGAAATATAAATGGAAAATTTTACTAAGCCACCGAAATTGTCAAAATTTACGAAAATGTTACAAAGTATGTAAAAATATGTATTAATGACGAAATATGTAAAAATATGTAAAATAAAATATGTCTTTACATACGAATTTATCACTTTCAATAATTAATTTATCATGTTTTACTAAAAATATGTATTTACATACAGATCCCAGCCCTGGTAATAATACATCCGAATAACTTATTTTTTTATCATACCCATGTCATAAATTAATAAAAAAATCTATTTACATCCTATCCTAGCTTTAGTATGTACCAGTAGTTTTATAGTTTTGGATTGTGTGTGAAATAAATAAAACAAGAAACTATTGTTTTTACAATAATAGTATGGTTCTACTTTAATGATTTTTTTTTCCAGGGATTCATTATTGAGAAACCTCAAACAATTTCATACAAAACCTCTCTGTTAATTTAAACTTATATTAAAAAATTAAAGATTATATTATTATCCACATATTTAATGATTATTTTAATATTTTAACAAAAATAAAGAGTGTTAATTGTGCAACGAAACAACAAAGTCTTTATTAGTGTTATTAATATTTATTGCCAGCTAAATTTCGTTTATCGATCAACGTATCAGATTATTACCACTGGGTCCGGAAATGGCTCTGGCTTACACAATACAACCAGAAACTTAACTTAACTACATCTGACTCGCTTTTAGCACAGCCAATCATATATTACAAAAATGAATTATTGAATACCTCATGCCAAAATATGTATTGGTAATCGAATGCTAGTTTACTATATTGTATTTAATATTTTTATCGAACGTTATAATAATACTAACTTTTTAAATATCACATTACCTAGGAATAATTAATCATTTCGTTGTAATAAATATTTTTTCCTGATGTACAGACATTTGTTAGTTAAAAAATATTGGCTTGAATAATATTATGTCAGACTGCACCGGTAATAAATGTTGGACCCTTAATAATATAGCAACTTTTTTCAACTGAATATAAATCGTTGCTCATTTAAATTGTTACTATAAAATGAAACTTAGTAATTACTTATATATACATTATTATTTGACAAATGTACATTTTACACTTGTAAATTGAGTATTGCCAATAAAAATTATTTTTGTTTCCCTCTTTCGTAACAGGCCGAATGATAGGATAGATCAATCTAACAACAACTACAAAAACCAAATACCGTTAAACCATATGCCACTGATCATGATTGATCACATGTTTTATACTTTTAAATCATGCATTTTTAAGGTTTATATTTATGGTTACGTTTGACGTTTCAATATTAAACTACCGACAAAAATACAATTTTCAATCAAATATTTCATATCTGATTAGTAGATCAAATGTATTTTAGATTATTTTTAAATAATTTAAAATCATATAAAATTCAAGTGATCGAATAATGGTAGTAAAAGTATCACTAAATCCCATCACATTTTGACATGAAAAATGTTATGAAAATATATAACTAGAATAAAATCATTGTTACTTTATAGCGAATTCATATATTTTTTTTACAACGAAGTTATCACTTTTTCATAACTCATAAGTTTCAATAGGTCTTGCAGAATTTTTTTGTTTTATCAGAAACTACTGAAATCTTACAAACGTATTGGTTCAAAAGTCAAATCTGTTTTCAACATAATATATATTAACTGTATGGAACTTTTGGATCACTTATACTACCTTCAATATTAATATCTGAGAAAATATATTAAAACAAGCTTATTGACGACTGTTCTGAATATTATAGTAAATTCTACTTTCAATCTACTCGTAAAATAAGTAAGCTTACAAGACAGTTTCAACTGTCTGTTATTGTATATTTCCAGTATATTATATTTAATATATAATTTATTTAAATGATATTTTATGAAAACAAAATATGTTTTTAGTTTTATTTGTTCTGATAGTATTGACAAATTTTGTTTTTTAAAACATTTCAATAAAACTATTATCAAGTTAATACTAAAAATACTTTTTAAATCATGTTCTTACTTTTTAGTATAACGTTTATTGTATGGTACGGTTATTCAACCAACAATCATTAATACTAAAAGGGTTATTAAAATTGAAGTTATATCAAATAAGGATAAAATACTTAACAATAATAATAATATATTAAAAATTTAAAGTAGAAATCATTCATTTATGTGATTTTTAAATAAATAACTTTGAGATCACTATTTATTAAATTATAAATCACAATCATACATTAATAGATATTATTTCAATCGTTATAATTAATAGAATCATTGTGCTTACATAACAATATCAAATATATACCAATAATCAATATATCGAGGTGATGATAATACTATAATATTCATGCAATCACAATTCAAAATATTTCTATTATGAGAACGTCACACCCACATGACGTGTTGTCTCCATCATACAAAATATGTACAACATAGCAAAAACTGTTTTTCGGGGGACAATTTTAATCCCTCTGTATTTGTAGTAGAGTTACCAAAACTTTACAACGCATTGAGAAAAACTTTATCTGTGTAATAGTGTTTTTTATTTTTTTTTTTTTGATAGCACAAACTAATCATTTTAAATAATTAAATGAAAAAAAACCTAATGTTCTCAAACTGATAACTTCAATTAATGTATTTATTTATATTATCCAAATAATAAAAAACCCTACGACACAGATAATGTTCTTCCCTATGCGTTGTGGAATTTTGGTAATTCTACTATAAATACAGAGGGATTAAAATTGTCCCTTGGAAAACCCTTTTTGCTCCGTTGTACATTTTGTAAGACGGATACAACACATGCGGGTGTGGCGTCCTCAAACTCAGTCTAATAAATGATTGTTTTTTTTAAATAATTAGAACAGCTAAAGTATTCTGATGTCCATAGTATACTTAGTTAGTGGTTAAAAATTTAAATTTATTCAACAGTGAATATATTTAAATATATTTTTTGAGTCGTTCTTTACCCTAGGCATCTTAAAACTCGGCCTTGCGGTAATACTCAGATAACGAATAAAAAAAATAATAATAACAACATTGTAACATATTATTCACCCTCTAGTAAAAAAAAACCCGGATCAGTGGTAGGATATTATTTTTTTTCAATTATCCTTTTTATACTACATTATAGATAAGATGTATTAGTTTATAACAACATAATACTGTAAAAATATTTTTTAAACAAATTTAAAATATGGTATAAAAAGTGAAAACGTTTCCATAGAATTACAGTCGGCGCTTCCATCGTTTTAAATTATAAAGAATATTCAAAAAATTAAGCACTCTAGAGCTGTTTCCAATACCTAATATAATTTGACATTCAACATTTTTACATTATTTTTTTTTCTTATTATTATTCAGTTATTGAATAGACTTTTGCTAAAACTCAACTACAAATATTTAAGACAAGTTATCAAAAACTATTCGTTTTTAATTATATATTTTGAAATGAGTGTCTTTTTATTATTTTGAAAATTCTACAATGTCAGTGTGTAGGTATGTATATATGTGGTGCAATAAGTATAAAAGATTACATTCATTTAATTACAATAAAAAAAACTCAAAGGCATGGAGGAAGAACCATCTAGTGACGGCACTTCAACGTGAACAGAAATGAATGTTAATTTAAAATTAAATAAAACAAATTCCAATAGTTCTCACTTTCCTCACAAAATGTATAGTCTGTTAAATGGCAACATTACTATTTTTATGGATTTATTATCTTTAATAATGACCACTAAGAATTAATCTGAACCGCAAACGGTCTTAATTATTATTGTTATCAATGTTACATTATTTCACGTGTGGGTTCATTTCAGCCAATATTTTTCAACTGACCAATACATCGTGTCCCGGATTCGAACTACCTCCAATTTTCCCTCGGCAACAATGTGACACTGATAGAGACTGCTGGCCAAGGATATGCTGTGGATATGGTGGACTCAACGGTCAGAAATATTGTCGAATTCCTTTGCCGAGTTGGCGAAATGATTTAATGAAGACCATTACGAAAAGTAAGTACTAATATATTTTAAAAACTGATAAAACGTTGATGTAATTATACTTGATAAACGTTTGATTGTATGTTAAATAATAAATTCAGAACAATCTTAAACTGACACGTAAAATTTCTCTAAAATGGCAATATATTTACATTACAACGAAATATTAAATAATTTATATATTTAATTATATATATAAATATCGACATATTTTTTAATATGTATTTTTGATTAGTTTTAGTACCTACTCGACTAATACTGCCAGGAGTTCAACCGCAGTAAAAGGGACACGAGAAAAGCACTGTTTATCTTACTGCACTTTGACATTACACCAATCAGATACAAAAATATCAAGTGTTATATTATACTTCTTAAATTTCAAAATACATTATTCATTTTGACTTGTTGTTATAAAATAAATTAAATTTATTGCAAAAATAAATTGTATTTTTACATACATTTTTATAAAATATACCTTAACAACGATGAAAGATATTAAATGTCTTGATATATTATCAATGCTGTAACTTAAATAATTGCATTTTTAAGTATGTAATTTATTCATTTTCATAACTTCAAAAAGTATATTGATCACTTTGTTGGGAATTTAAAAAAAATATAAGCCTAATTGAAGGACGAGATGGATATATAGTACATAAATGTTCATAACAATTTAATAATTATAAAGAACTTCTTAACCTTTACTGGATGCCTTAAAAAAAAAAAAATACAAATGAAATATTTACACAATTTTAATTAAAAAATATTACATTTTCTAAATCTTGTACTTAAAATGTCTCAACTATATCAATGAAAATAAAATGAATAAAAACTAAGTAATAAGTAGGTACTTGCAATAAATTATCGGTATTGTAATATTCTCTCATGCTGTGTAATACCTGTTATAAATGAAGTGCTGCATTAGACCGTTAGAACTTTGATACTAATTACATTTCTATACAAACGATAACTGAGTAACGGTATTTACCCACTATTAAATCCAATTTAAATTAAATAAAGCTCCATTTCCATTTTCAAACTTTGACATAAAGTTTATTATGAATCCATATTTTCGAAAAGCACTGCATCTGAGTATACCTAGGTATATGCTATTTAAGAACATCAAAGACATTATTATAAATTATTATTTATTACAATTTAACCCAGGAAATGTAAAACTTTGCACAGATGCGATAATATTTTTAAAACACTTATTATTTTATGTACCTTCTCCCAGTGACCAGAAACAATATTATATAAAAAATAATAAACTATACAATACTAAGATTTATCAGTTTTCATGATAAAATAAATATCAAATAAATGTAAAATAATAATCATACGTCTAACAAAAATGTGATAATATTTATTATACAACCCTCATATAAGTTTTTTTTTAAAAGGTATTATGTTTAGATTAATCACAATAAAATAAAAATGACTAGCCATTAGCTGGGTAGTTATTTGTTTGTACTTTATTACTTTCTATGGTATAATATCCACATTTTGAGTAAAGCATTTTTTTTTCAAAAGTAAATAAAATAAAAACCTTTTCTTAAAATATTAATTAGGTATACATTGTATTACAAAGTTTGTATACACGCACATTTTAGAACCTTTCATAATTATTTTCAAAATAGTTTTGTTAGTTTCAATATCGGCGAACTTTCTAATTGGAATAATTCTATATATTCAAATTATTTATATTAAGTTGAAAGATGTAAGTTTCCTCTCATTTGAAAAAAAAATTGATTCAGTATTAAGTAAATAATATTATTGAACCTTTAAGGAATTCAGAGCTTTAGACTAATAGAGATAAATTAAAAGTGATCGATCGAATTTTCTTCTTTGATTCCTATTATATCAATATCATATGTCAATAATAGTATGTTTCAGCTTAGGTACGTCCTAACTATGAGGGCTAAAATCGAAAGACAATTTCCATTCGATGCCTTATATAGAATAGATTAAAACTGGAATATTTTAATACTATTTATGACTTTTTGAAATCAAATTAAATCAAATATAAAGATATTTAGATAAATTGCAAGAAATAAAAACTCGAGTTCAACGTTTACACATTTGTTCTGTTTTGAACTCCAACAATTTTGCACACAATCACCAAGCTTTCACTGCTATCTTATTAGATACTAAAGAACCATTATCTATTGTTGAACAAGAGTCATCAAATTCTAGAATAAAATATAATAATAGTTGTAATAATTATTATAATAATAATAGTAAGTCTAGTCAGATTAAACTGAAAAACATTCAAGCAGCCAAAATAAGGAATTATAGTGACCGATATGACGATATCTATTTAATTCCTAATAAACTATTTTTAGTAATACTCGCAAATAAACCCTAAAATGCTAACCTATGTATACTACCGAGTCTTAACGCATGTGACTTAACTTGGACATAATAATTTAAAATATACGGTCTAAATACGGTTCTAAAAATTTCAATCAAAAAATTAAAAACAGTTTTAACGACTTTTTTTGCCGTGAAATCAACCACCGCCGTGTCGGGACTTAAAAACCATAGTTCGCAGAGGGACGTAAATCGGACACAGTACCTAATCAAAATCGTGAGGTCGTAACTTTTTTAAGCACCTAAAATAACGACGTTAGTCTTTACTCGTTATAAGCAAAACAATTAACTCTAGGCTGACTATTCACAATTCGTACATATGTCAAAACCTCAAGGAAATTATTTACATATCATTGTCATTTATCTATAAAAAGTCAACAATAGATATTAAGTCATGGAAGTACTCTATAGGTATTTACACGTATTATATAGTTCTATTTAATTCATGTGCAATATTTTATTATTTTTTTAAATACTATGAAAAAGAATTTTCTGAAACTATTTAGTGCATAATATTATAAGCTTTCAGTCAGCTAATTCAAAAATATGATATAATACAATAACCATGCTATCGAATGCGTCTCAAAAGGGGACAATCAACTTGTATGTTCTGAACATTAAAAAAATATTAAAAGTGGCATTCGGGGACTGCCGCGATAAAGCTATTGCATATTAAATAAATAAGAAGTTGATATAATTTTAAATTTTTTTATTATTCTATTTATTCAGGAATTTGTATCATAGAAAATATAGTTTATGTTTTTATTGCTATAATATATTATATTTTATATATATAATTATAAATATATAAAATTAATAATATATTATTATATATTATATATTTATATATATAAATTTATTGCTACAGCAACCCATAACAAAACCATTATATTTATAAGCGCTTGATGTTCATAGTCGTTGTTATTTAAAAATAAATAACTGTTATCAAAATTAAATTATAATTTAGCTATGCGTTGGTATGGTCACCAGGTTGCCATAGTATATATAAATAAACAAAGTGGTCACGCTTTTTCGTTACGAAAAATTTTTTTTCAGTCACTACACCAGACCTGCGATAAAAGCTATGCAATAGCTTAAAAAAACTTTTTCTACAACTATTGATTTTGATAAAATTATGACTTATCTAGTCAATATAAAATGTTTGGAACAATTTAGATAAAAAATTCAATGGATAGAAAATATTTATCCATTTTGTATATGGTATTATTAGTTTCAATTCATGGAAACGAATTCATAAATACTTTTATCCATCTCCCGTTCGTAAAATAAAATATGACTGTTCCGTATGACAAAAATTACAAAAAAAAACACAATTTACTGAAAAATTACGGAAAACATTTAATTGAATTAGTTTTTTAGATTTTGGATAAGATTTTGCATATTTTAAAATCACTCACGATTAAAAAAAAATATATAATATATTGCATGAAACAGAGCAACTCGTCTGTCTCATCCAGCTGCATAAAGTTGGACTTTGGTTGAACTTTTTTTTTATAGGGCTGATATTATCCAATTTGGCTTGCACCCCTACAACTGAGCAACAGCTCCCCCCCTAGAGTCTGTCTGTATGCTGCTGCTATCATAATTTCAACAATTTCGTAAAAAAAAAAGGAGAGTACGCTTCGTACACTTAAAAACTCGCCACGACATTGGATACCTACCGATCGTACCCAATAAATTAAGAACAAATTATTGTTTTTTTTTCCGCGTTTTTTACCATTAAAATTTCGCGACCACGTGGTACGAAATATGTAGGTCGCGGTGACATACTATTACGATGATCGTTTTCGCAGGCCTCCGGTCCAGCAGGCCGCCGTACCTGCAGTGCAGCCCGCCGCCGCCCAAGCGTTACGATCTGTTCCCCCGGAAGTGCCGGACCACCGTCGACTGTCTGCCGGACCTTTGCTGCCCGGAAACCGGAAGGAACGTCTGCCGGCCACCCAAGGAAATAATACGGCCGATCAGGGTCCGGGTGTCCATGGAGTAGGCGGCCTCGGCGTCCGTTGTTAATTACCGGCCCGACTGAGTTTGCCACCCAGTCAAATCTACAGCCGATCGAAATGCTAACCACAATGACAATGTCCCACAGAGCATTTTTATCATTTCTTTTGCAAACGTTTTAAATCCATCGCAAAAGACTTACAACGGCAACGGAAAAATATTTCTAGAACGTTTTTTTTTTCAATGCTTTCTCAAATGTTTTCTCGATACGTTTACAAAACTTTTTCGACTGTTATAAAAATATTATTTTGCCCTGCGGGAAAAACATTGTTCTATGTTATTGTGTAATCGTACCAATCTAGTCATCACTTATTTGTAAATATTGTTAATCTCCGAATCCTTCCGAACACTCGAACGAAGGGATTAAGCTTAAAAATTAATTATTTTTGTATATTCGTATTAAGGATCATTTTTGTTATTATTTATTTTTATTATTATTATTATTATTACTATTAACATTACTTCTATTATTAAATTAAATTATTATTGTTATTATTTTTATTATTGTGTACGACACATCGGTGACTTGAATACTTGTCTATGTACATAAAATTCATAATATACAAGAAGCGTTTAGATAGTATAGCTATATAAGTATAATCAGTACAACAAATTCGATGACGAATTATTATTTTCCGGACATAAGGGAACACATGAGGTCCCTGGAAAAATCCCAAGTTAATGTTATTATTGTCTCGTTAAGACACTTTCACTAATGCCAAACCCAAACAAAACCCATTTGGCTCTTAACGCGTTTTCGATTTATCTAGGACGTGTAAGATAGACCACAGTAATAGTTGTGCAGTTAAATCCACTGGCCTCGGCAATCGCCCCGACACCATCGCCACGCGTCATATCCAATTAACGATTTTGTGGAGACTATAAAAACTTAATAATTTCGTGTTTCGAATAAAACCACAAACGCGATTGTGTAGATGCGGTCGAAATCCGAAAAAATAATTGAAATATAATAACATTATGGCGTTAGTGGTAAGCCTATATGCAGTTTATCGAATTTGGATGTTTAGCAAACAAATTACTGATGTTATTTAATTTGTTATTAACTGTGTAAACACTGTAAACAATAAATTATTTTATTATTCTTCAATCGATTACCGGTGTATAGTTGGTTTGCAAACAATAACCTACTCCATATTTAATTAAATGACACCGCTGGATACCTGCAGTTTTGTCCATTGTTCGTCATAATTGAACCCGAAATGACTGTTCGATGAATAAAATATGACGTAAGTACCCACCATGAGGACAAAGGTATGGTCCCACCGGCCACTGTATATAGTGTAGGTATTGCACGCATAACACAAAATATTATAAATTGTACATTCGAGTTTTTATTTGTGAACAAGTGCGTTACAAGAGAATATTTTATCACCATAACATCAGATTGTTGTCCCGCAGTTAATGTGTAATCGCTCTTTTTTATACACAACAAATCGATATTGATCAACCATAATAGAATTTTATAAAGTAATAATGTCGTAGGTGGTAGGTATCTATTAATGACTAATAACGCTCAACAATTAGCATTGCGCTCAACAGAGAACATGAAACCAAAAATTGTTTTCCACACTATTTGAAACATAATAATATACTTACACTATATCGACGATAGAAAGACAAATTGATGTAATTCACATTACTGCAAAATAGCGAACAAAAAATATGAATGTCAAAATGTCATATTTAAACTGTAATAATAACCTATAATTATATTATTTTTCTTGTTATACCAAGGTATTAATATTTATACCTAATCTGCTTAAACAAAATACATATTAGTGCTTAATAATATATTATATTATTATAAACAAATAGACCTAACGTAAGAATCTGACCTAGCCATGAAATAAACATTTCATTGACAAAGAAAAAATGCCTATTTAATTTGTTCAAGTTTTTTTTTTTAATAACTATTCAATAGCTATTTTTGAAATTTGATTTATAATAAAACATAGGATATTAAAACATTTAATTTGTATGTAATACATTTTATAGAAAGTATTAGGGCCAGTTGTACCGTCTACGATTAAACTATGATTAAGCTTAATCAGCTGATAACAGATATTTAAACGGGCAAATTCGGCCGATTAAACTCTGATTAACTTTATAATCATAGACGGTACGACTGGCTCTTAGAAACATTATAAACGCATATTATGGTATTCACGTTGCCCATGTAGTATCTTAGTCAAAATGATTATACTTCAACAAAGTTACAAGATTATCAACTATTAATACTTAATACGGTAAACAACTGTTAAGGCTGTCGGTGACGGCTAAAATATTGGCAAAATATCGTATACAATGTATTAAGCATACCTACTTATTATACATATTATAATATTTAATACTTAGAGGAAAATAAATACGATTTTAATACAAAAAATGAGTGGAGGAAAATGGAGAGTAGTTTTCTTTTTTTTAGTGGAAAATTGTACCACGCTTTTTTACAAAAAACAAACCCCTTAATTATTTTTTTTTCAAAGAAATGTAATATTCTTTTAATGTATTTTAGCTAAACTATTAACATTAAAGTTGCTCTTGAAAATATCGTTCACTTTGCCTATCTATAGGTACAATCTATTACGTTTGGATATGAAACATAATGTATATTCAATTTCGTTCTAAAAATTGTAAGTTGTTTCTGTTAAACAATAGCTACCTAGGTAATAACTTTAAATTCAAGAAGTGCGCCAGTATGGCATAATATATTAAATATTTTATTTAGATGACTTGAACATTTCTGTTGAAACAAATGTATTTATTAGTCTCAGAATTTTCTTTATAAATACTTAGTAGTGTTTTTCCTACATTTCCTATTACGCACTTTCAAAATTAATTAAAATATCTACTGCATTAAATCATTTTCCATCGAAGTTAAAATAATCTTTTAGCCCTAACTGTATGATTTTATTCTTGCATTCAATCGACTTATACACCAGCTACCAGGTTATTACATTACCATAGGTTTCTTTGACTGAAATTGTTGTTTATCTGAAAATCTAAAACTTTTTAACTTGTAAAAATGGCCTAGTCTGTACCTAGGCAGGAGTTGATATTTTTTTTTTCATTTTAAACTCCCAAAATGACCATTCTTTTGGGTTCACCAAATTTGACTCACTTTTCAAATTCTTAGTGATTTCATCAACATATTTGTACAAAAATATACCTCAGTCTATTAGTTCCTCGTTAAAACCTGAACATTTCCATAGACCCTTAACAAAAATTAATTTTTTCCTGCAATCGACAAGACCCTACAAGCAAGCAGATAATGGTAAGCATATTTCTATCACTTTTAAAAATAGTTTAAAATTCATTACTCAATATATCGATAGAGAGCTGAACTTCAGGTAAAATAAGAACATCACAGGTTACTAAATCGGCGTTACTAAATTAGTACGGACACTGAACACTTTAGTACTCACACTAAGTACATTTTGTTCGTAGATTTCTAGACATTTTTTCAAATTAATATTGAACTTAAGACAATTGTTAATTATAATTTAAATTTTTGGAAAACAAGATATTTTGGATTTAAAAGCATTGAACTCATATATAAAAAAATTAAGAATGATAGCCGATAGCCCTGATAGCCCTCCTGGCCCCTACACATGTTTCTATACATTAAAAATGTATAGAAACCTAGAAACCCACCATTTAAAATTCCTAAGAACACCACTGAGTACAAATTTCGATAGTAGAGTATAATAATATATTGATATATGAGAAGCTAAAGAATATTCCCTTTTTGAGTGGTATATGCACTATTTACAATGTCCTATTAACACCGTTCTACGATACGTCAGTACTAACTTAAAAGTTGACTTATGACAATAATATAATATGACAAATATACTATTATAAACTATTATTAAAATCTCATCATTTTAGGCAAAAATATAATTAAAATCCATTTAAATAGCCATCATAACAATATTTCCTTTACAAGATATAATATAAATTGAACAATATTAGTAAAACTGCGTGCATTTAAGTATATCATTCTTCAAAAATTCAAAAACCATTAAAACACTTCAATAATTCTTCAAATAATCGAAAACACACTTGACAATCGAATACATACACAGGTTTAATCATTTTAGTGAAAATTACAAATACTTTTTTCAACTACCGACGGTGGTGCTAATTACATATCCTTATATTTATGGTGCAAATTTTAAACTCTATTTTAAAAAACATATTTTAATAAATCTGTGCCAAAACACTGTAGGTATCTATTGACAAAATACGTTATTTTAACATTTATTTTAAGATTATTTTTTTTGTGTTATTATAAGTCGTTTATAAATTATAAGTGGTATCTCTGCGATAAAATAATATATTTTGGTTATTATTTCGTGAAACAAAAATTGAATCATATAATATTATTAATAATTGTTATTCTCTTATGATAGGAATTCCATCCAATATTGATATGTGCGTTAGTTTCTTACAGCATTCAGTACGCCAAACTTGTTCTTCCATAGACTCTTGTATTGGATTACCTAAATAAAATTAATCACATTTCATTTTTACAACAAGATGTATGAATATAAAAAAAAAATCTTTACCGGTCAGTACTAGTTCTTGAAGAGTTTCCAATTTTAAAAGTTTTTGCACCTCATTCCAACTGTCGACTAAATTATTACCCATGTATAATACTTTTAGTTTCTTCATGCCCATTATACCTTTCAGTTTATCAATATAATTATAAGATATCCATAATTCTTCTAGAGTATCAGCCAATTTATCAATTCCATTGAAATTTTTTAAGTTATTCCGTGCCAATGATAATACTTTTAAGTTTTTTAAAGAGTCAAGACTAGTTATTTTGTCGATACAATTTGTGCTCAGTGATAATTTTCTGCAACAAATTTCAAAATACATACACCAACAAATATTTGACAAAATTTAACATGAATAAATAACTATTCTTTTTTTTAAATTTTATTTACTCGCAATTCT